TAGGTGAGCAGAGCGTGGAAAGGCCTGGGGGTGGGGTACCAATCCTGATGGGCGTAGTGGGGAGAAGAGGGGCAGAGTGGGGTGATCTTCTGACAGTCACACCCAGGGAGCCCTAGGGCCACCAGAGGGCCAAGTTGCAACTTGCTACCTACCCACATCCTAGACTCCTTCTGGCTTTATTTTTGTCTGAGTGCTTGTCATCATCTAACATACCATATATTTTATTGATCTTGCTGAATGTTTTCTCGCCCTACTAGACTATACACCATGAGGGCAGGGACCTTGTTTTGTTTGACTGTTCCCAAATGCCTAGAACAGGACCTGGCACTGGGTTCATATTGATTGAATGAATGGATGAAGTGTAAAAACTTTTAATCCAACTGATGCATAAGAGGGGAGCCCACCCTCTGCTCACTGCAGTACTGTGTGGACAGCAGGCAGAAGCAACTTGAATGTCCATCAGCAGGGGACAAGTTAGAGAATTTATGTGACACAGAGTAGAATGTTTGGCCACTGTTAACATAAATAAGGTAGGTTAGTGGTTCTTAAAATGGGGTCTGCAGTCCTCTGATAACTATTTTGTAATTCTAAGACATCATCTGCCTTTGGCAACATGCTGACATTTGCATCAGTGGTACAAAAGTGATGGTGGGTAAAACTAATCTCACCTTAGCCTAAATCAAGGCAGTGACACCAAACTATTCTGAGTCACTATATTCTTCACTCTCATGTACTTTGTTTTAATGCAGTTTCACTTAAGAATGTTTCTGATGCAGCAGGAGAAGGATTTCTAATTTTATTAAATTTTAATCCTTTGGTACATGTTTAATACTTGGTGCCATGAAGTGGGAACTACACACAAAGCACTTCTGTTGCAGACCAGAATATGGCATCTTGAGGAAAGGATTTGTACAATTGACTGAGCTATGAGGTGAACTAGCTCCCTTTTCCAGGGAACATCATTTCTTACCGGAAAAAGCAACTAACAAACTAAGGCTATTCATAGGTGGGTATTTGGGAATTTGAACAAAGAACCAAGTGAGCCTGTCACTTGAAGATAAACAATTGCTATCAATAATAACATTTGAGTTTCAAGCAAAAATTAGAATTTTGGACAATTTTACTGTTATATAAGTGAAATGGGTCAACATAACCAATGCATAATGATACAAAGTTATGCATAAAGCAAGGCCTCTTTAAATGCACAAGACAGAGTGATAGATTTCAATGTAGCAGAGTATGGACAGTTCAGTCTGGATGCTTTCACTTTCCATGTTGCAATTAAATTTCAGGAAATGATCACTTAGGAATTTGGGTATAGGAACAAAGAAGATGATAACCACAATTATCTGAAAAGACTACAAAAATACTCCTCCTCTTTCCAGTTATGGATCTAACTGAATTCCCAGTCTTCAGCAGAAGCCTAGATTTTCTTCATATACTTCACACAAAGCAATGAAATGTAACAAACTGAATTCAGAAGCAGATGTGATATTCAACTGTCTTCTATTAAGGCAGACATTAAATACATGCGAAAATATAAAACAATGTTTCTCTTGTCATTTATTTATGTTATTATGTAATGGCATATTATTGTCATTTTTAAAATAATGGGGAAAGGTATACTCAGTGGTTAGAGTATATGCTTAGCATTCACAAGGTCCTGGGTTCAATCCCCAGTACCTCCACTAAAATAACTAACTAAATAAACCTAATTACCCCCCCAAAAATAAACAAACAAAATAACAGATTTATTGAGCTATAATTCATGTACCATAAAATCCATCCTTTTGAAGTGTACAATTCAATGGTTTCTAGACTATTCATGGAGTTATACAGTCATCATCACTATCTAATTTTAGGATATTTTCAATTCAATGAGGGAAGGCAGGAAGAGACTTACAAAGAGCACCTAACACTAACAATTACTTAATTTTTAAAGGACAAAAAGTTTTCCTCTAAAACAAATCAAAGCTGTGAGATTTTGACTTGTTAAAGAAGTTGATAATGCAAAGCTAAGCAGGACTGAATGCCTCCAGAGATGGAAGCATCCCCAGGCTTCTGCTTTTTTTGGAAGGGCTTCTCCTTTCTGGACTTCAGTTCATTCTGACTTCTTTGTGACTTGTAGGTCTGCACTTCCCGGAGGGCCCAGAGACCTGTGCCAGCCATCTGGGCTGAAGGACATATCTGTTCTCATCTGGATGCAAGAGAACCACGATAGACTCAGTCCTGCAGGGATTTTCAGAGGGAGGACTGGCAAATTGTATTTTCCAAAGATGGCCACAATAGTATGTATCCCATGCTGTTCTCAGACATTGTCACTTCTCCACTGAGAGATGGAGAGTTATGTTCCCTCCCCTTTGTGACGGCCCTGACCAATCAGAGTTGAGCTGTGTGATTTCTGACCCTACCTCGTGATACAGCTTCTACCTGACTCTCCCTCTTTGCAAGTCCTCCCTGAGAACCCAGTGACCATGCTGTGAGGAAGCACAGGCCATACTGAGAGGCCATGTGTAGATGTTCTAGTCAACAGCCTCAAGGAAGGGCCAAGCACAAGCCAGCATCAATCCCATACATCTGAGGGAATGAGTCTTCAGCTGATCCCCGCCCCCAGCCTTGGAGCTGCCCCTGCTTATGCCAAGTGGATCAGAGAAAACAGTTCCCCATGAAGTTCTGCCCAAATTGCAGATTTGTGAGCAAAGTGAATTTGCTGTTTGGGCCATAGGTTTGGGGATGGTTGGTTACACAGCAATAGGGAACTGAGAAAGAAATCTTGGACTTAAAACACATTTGGTTTGCCCTATGAAATGTAGAAGCTTCTGTAGCCATCCCAGAGGAATGTGAGTGAAATGAGCGTGCTCGTGGAATGACACAGGCAAAATACTTTCAACTGCTCTACAGCTAAAATCTACCTCCTGGTGCTTCTCCATTGTAAACAATAACATTTGTTCTGGTTATAACAGTTTTATATAACCAATGTAGAAAATTCAGAAAAATGAGAATTAAAAAAGGGAATGAAAATGATCTGACTCATGGCATTTACAACTGCTAATAATTTGGTCCCTTTCCCTCTAGTTTTTTTTTTCTATACATAGAAACTTATTTTATAAAACATGGATCATATTTGCACAGTAATATTGCTACTGGCCCATCATTCAGCAATGGTATTTTGAATTCAGCAGGCACCCAGCTGGACTCTGGAGAGGGGGAGAAGGAGGGCAGGGTTTCCAGCCATGGCCATGACTGTGACTCACCTTGGGTCATTAGTGAGGCACTGAGACTTCCCTCGTAGGGGTGGCTAGGTGTTGCCTGGTGAGCATCTTGGGTACCTGCTGCTTTGCTGCCAGGGTGGACACAGCTTAGGAGGTGTTCCATCCTCCCCTCCTACCTCAGTGCAGGGAGGCTTGAAGAGGGCGGTGCCAGGTGGACACAGCCCCCAAACTGTGCCCCTTGTAGCTGGTGTGCCTTTTGACTAGTGCCTGGGTGACAGCTCGTATTTCACATGCTTATTTTGCAGAAACGCTTCCTTAGAAATCCACCATGCAACACAGAACCTGTTGTTAACAATACGGTCTTGTGCACTTGAAAATTTAAGAGATTTGTCAGTCTTATGTGCAGTGTTCTTACCAACCTCTTCCCAACCCCCTGCCAAAACAAAAACCAAAAGGACACAAGAAAACCTTTGGAGGTGATGGATATGTTTATTACCTTGATTGTAGTTATGGTGTCACAGGTGTTTGCACATGTACAAGTGTATCAAATTGTGTGCATTAAATATGTGCAGCTTTTTGTATATTAAGTATACCTCAGTAAAGCTGTTTTTAAAAAAGCACTTCCTCATTTGGAAACACTTAAATGAAAAAGTTGAATTGCATTCAAAATCTACTCTCATTGATGAGAATTTTCAACATTATAATCATAAATGAAAGAAAAGGAAGAGCTATTAGATCCTTTCAATTTAGTGTGAACTGTGCTCAATTTTAGCATGTAAAATGATTGTTCACATTTTTAAATACCTATTCATGTAAAGTTTCTTGTTGATGTAGTGTTAAGAATTTAAAAAAAATTTTTTTTGGTACATGTGTGAAATATATCACATAAAGTGCTCTCCACACAAGTGACAACAAAGCAAATCTAGTCACTACCACCAGGTCAGGAAGGGCAGTGCCCTATGGTGTATTTGAAGGGATCCATCAATTGCCATTTCAAGCATAAAATCTGATGTAAAAATAAAATGGCTGATCACAGAACCAAATCAAATTGTTTAGTACGGATGTTAAAAAGATTTTATTTGATACCTTAACTTAAAAAAAATTTTCCCCAATACTTTTTTTTTTTGACCTTTTTTTCCCCACTAGGCCCCTACAGATGCCCACAATCCCCGTCTGGACCTCCGAGTGCCCCACGTGCGCGTGGTAAAGGCTGGTCCCGGGTCGCAGGCGCCCGCTGCCGGGCGGGGCCGCAGACACGCCCACCCGGGGTCAGCAGCCCCCAGGCAAGCAGAGCAGAGTCCTGTCGGCGGGGGCAGCCCAGTGTTTACACGATTCTTCTCTACGTTGGGTGATGTAAAAGCCATCGCATCAGTTTTCCTCAGGGAGAGTGACAACTGTACTTGTTTTCATCCTCTTGTTAAAAACGCTGATTTATTTTTTTATTTTCAAGCTTCTTTTTCTTTTCCTGCTTGTATTTCACAGAAAAAGCTGGAGCCCCTGCAGTCGCGCTGGTGTCTTAACCACCAGGAGACCGAGTTTTTTCTTGCTTGCTTGATCTTTTTTTCTGTTTGCTTGTTCTTAGTATTTTTAGTATGTTTTGGAAACATTTCTTTTCAATGAGTGTTCGAAACTCAGCTCCCTCCTTCCCTCCGCTCCCTGCGGGCGCCTCCCTCTCCCTCGAGACCAGTGAGTGCCACCCCCAGCCATGGGGGCGCTCGGTTTCCCCCACCCGCAGCTTGTCCCTAGTCGCGAAAGCCTCCAGTCGGGGCACTTCTGGGGGATGAGAAAAAACCACCCGACGGAACGGTAGTGAAACTTTTTCCTGTGGTCGTTCCCCCAGGGACCACAGGGTCCCCGGGTTCCCGAGGAGCGGGCGGTAGGGCCAGAGTTGATCTGGGGATCTACGTCCGGTTTGGGGAGGCGCTCGGCTCCCCATCCGGAGATCGGGGGAGTAGGGAGCGTGTCCACGTCCCCGGGCGCGCAGACACCTGCGGCCTCTGGCCGGGCGGGCGGTCCTTGAGCCCCAGCGCCTCCTTAAAGCCGCGGCTCCGCCCCGTCCGCCACCCTCCCCCGCCACCGGTTCCACCCAACCGCCGGGTCCCCGCCGCCTTGGCGAAGTGTCGGACTGTCGCGAGCCCTCAAGGAGCGCGCTGCTCGCCCAGGCCGCCCGCCAGGT